GTTTTCACAGAAACTGTCTAAATCCATTACTTGCTGTATTAACTTGGGGTCTCTCTCTCTCCTAACACAGCACATATACATGAACACACAAACGTCACATAAATGCTAGAAAACGTAGTCTGAGGGCATACTATGAAAAAAACCACTTTGTCAGGGTAAATGAACTTGAGTAGTTAACAGAAAACCATTATTTTAAAATTTAAGTACCCCTTAAAGATACACTAGAAGACATGAACCACCTGCTTCACTAATGGAACACGCTAAAATAGACATAATTCATTAGCCATGTCATGGCAGCCAAATGGTATAAATTCTTCAGATGCCAAACCTGGTTAAAATAGCAGAAAATGTCATGAACTGAGTGAAGGGGAAGGAGAGAAGAGAGAAGTCTCATATTGAAAAAGTCTATTTTTTCTAGTTGCTTTATAACTTGAGGGAAAATTAAAAACTCTTCATAAATTATAACTGCAAAAATTGAAAAAGAAATCCATTTGTTAAACAAAGGAAAACTTAGACAACTGGGCTCTCATTTAGATCACAGTGCCCCTACTGTAACCACAGCAATTTTGGACCACACAAATTAACTAAATATACTTGGTGGTTGTGTCTAATAATGTGATTATTTAAGGAAAGTACAAAGAAAGAAAGTAGAAAATCAAAAAGAGCAAGTAGAATATCTTACAAAATTGAAAAATGATATGTTAGGTTTGTAAAAAAAAAAAATCCCAATTAACATACATAATTTCTCTTTTGCACTATACTCAAAGAATTTTTTGATCTTCAAATTAACTTGCTTTTGAAAATCAGCTTTATTGAAATATAATTCATATACCATTCACTTACAGTATATATTTCAGTGATTTCTGAGTTGTACAACCATCGTCTCAGTCAATTTTAGAATATTTTCCTCACCCAAAAAATAAACCTCATACCTATTGGCAGTAATAGGTATGTTCTTTACTTCTCCAAATCCCCAGCCCTAGAAAACCACTAATCTATTTTCTGTGTCTATAGATGTGTCTAATCTGGACATTTTATATAAATGGAATGAAACAATATATGGTTTCTTGTGACTCTCTTCTTTCACTTAGCACAATATTTTCAAGGTTCATCCATGTTGCAATAGGTATCCAAACTTCATCCTTTTTATGGCCAAATAATGTTTACAGCTATAAATTTTCTTAAGTATTGCTTTAGCTGCATCCAATAAAGTTTTAGCATGTTGTATTGTCATTTTCATTCATTTCAAAGTATTTTCTGATTTTCTTTGTAATTTCTTCTTTGACACACTGATTATTTAGGAGTGTATTGTTTAATTTTTACTGGGAAATTGTCAATTTCCCAATTTCTTTTGTTATTGTTATCCACCTTAATTCCATTGTCAACAGAGAACATAATTTGTCTGACTTCAATTCCTTTAAACTCATTGAAGCTTTTTAAACTCATGGTCTAGCATATTTTCTTTCCTGAACAATGCTCCACGTGCATTTGAGAAGACACATTCGGCTACTTTTGGGTGAAATGCTTTACAGATGTTTGTTAGGTCTAGTTGGTGTATAGTGTTGTTCAAGTCTTATATTTCCTTGTTGATATTCTAACTCTATGGAAAACAGGGTGTTGCAATCTCCAGCTGTTGTTGAATTTTCTAGTTCTCACTTCAATTCTATTAAATTTTGTTTTATGTAATTTGAGGCTTTGTTATTATTGTGTTCTCTAGATTTAAAAAAAATAGTACCCCCAGATTTGTGGATATATTCTTACCTAAATTCTTACAGGTAGTTTTTAGAAAGTTTTATATTATAAGAGACTCTTGAGATTTTTAAGGATCACTCCTCACTATTAAATAACAGTACAAATTAGGTTGACTTGCTTTTTTTATAATACAAATAGAATGGAAGTTTACTTTATTACTTTGCAGAATGGATGTACTACTAATATTAATTCCAATACACTGATAAGGAAAATATTTTATTTTGCAGTTTTCAAAAACCATTAGACATTTTAGGAATGAAGTATGTTTATCTATGAACAACTTAATTATATGACTTGGTTTCCTCAACTGTAGAAATATACTACCTGTTTTCCTAGTTCATAACGATACTAATAGGATAAAACTGCTAATACATGGGACATTTTGAAAATTAAATGGACTTAACACATTTTCATAACTACAGATCTTGCATGAAAAGAAAATAATTGCACATGAAAAGACAATTATTTGCAAAAGACAATATGCAGGTCACCTCTATGACTCGTGGAGGCAATGACAGAGGCAGGGTGAACGGTGCCTTCCTCTGGGGGTTGCTTGTCACTGACTTTTACTAAGCACCTAGGCCAGGCACTGGTCTCAGCTCTTTACATTCTCATTTAATCCTCGCAATCAGATGAGGGAAGAACTGATTTTATCCCCATTTTACAGATGAGCTAACTGAAGCTTTCAGAGATTAAGAAACTCAACCTAAGGTCACACAGATAACCTGCAAGATAGCCACGCCTTAACCAAAGCAGATTACAGAGCTCTTGCTAACTCTTTCAACTGCATTGCCTTCCCAAAGACTGCAGGATAGCTTCTTTTTTGATCCAATAAGTTCATTTTAATGGCCAACATTAGAATCAAAACATCAGGAATAGGAAGATCTTAAAGACTTTTTATTTATATTAAAACAAGGTATTTTTCACCTATAAGATTGGCAAAGATAAAAGAATTGATAATACCTAGTTTGGGTGAGTAGGTAGGAATAGGCACTATTAATATTTACAGTGTGTATACTCATACCTTTTGGAAGGGCAGTTTGGCAGTAACTGCCAAAATGTAAAAATAGAGAGTCCTGGATTGATCAGCATTTGACATAGTTGTTGACAGGACATAGTGTTGAAAACACATGGTGGAGCTGAAACAAGAAGTTCAAAAGTTTCTAAAAGCTTCCAGGAAAATTCGAGGAGAGAAAATAGTCACCCACACACAAAGATCAGGAGCCAGAATAATATCAGCTTTCTCACAACATGGGAAACTTGGCAATAATAAAATTATGCCTTCAGAATCCTGAAGAAAAATATCTATTCTAAAATTCTATACCTTGCTAAACTATTAATTGGGTAAGAGGGTAAAATAAAAATATTTTTATAAGTTTTTAGACATGCAAGTATTCAAAAAAAATTTTCTCTCCCCACCTTACCCTTTTCTGGGAAGCTGCTGTGCTCAAAATGATGAAACTGAACAAGAAAACATGGATACTGCTATTTTTCAGTCTTGTGGAACTATTTGACTTCATATAGCATGTGCATGTAAAAGTTCTTGAAATTTTTAAAAAATACTTAACTTTAAAAGAAAGAAATTCTCACTGAGGACCGGTTGAGAATTGTTTGGTGACATTAACTGAAACATCAATTAATTCTAGTTTGGAGTGTTTAGAGTTTATAGAGTGAGTATAAAAAGAGGCAAAGAGTTTTAATACAAATTTGCTTTTATTTTTGTATTGCTAGTGATGAGTACTTGTAAACTAGCCTTTTAAAAAGGCTCCACATAAATGGTTACACTGTGGCATCACCAATATACACCTTTTGGAAAATGAAACAAATAACAGAGCTCACTATAGGAGTAGCTGCTTGTGGCTTGGTTAAAAAGAATCCCGTGTCAATATCATACATGATTCAAAAGTGATATGTGTCAAGTTTCGTGTGCTCTGGAAACTACTAAATGACTCTGATCATGACAAAGACATTGACAATGAAGATGCAAGTGAATGGTTCAAATATTGTTTTATAAAAAGACTAGCAAAAATGTATTACTAAATTAGTATATTTCACATAATATATAATTTTAAATGCATATGCAAACTAAATATTCTAAGTAAAATAAAAAGAAAATAAAGTATCAAACTGTTTCCCCAAAATGTTTTATTTTCATTAAGATGGAAATGAAAGCAAGATGAACTTGTCATTCCTCGAAAGCCGAAGTCGTAACTTGTTCGTATTTGTATCGCATGCTCATCTAAGGAGGTCTTCTTCCTCTCTATCACATCCCCTGTCTTTTTCCTTCATAGCTTCTATCGCTATCTTTTATTTTGGTGTTTTATTGGTTTATGTACTTAAAGTCTATCTCCCTCACGAGACTGTAAGCCCAATGAAAGCAGGGAGCTTGCTGTCTTATTCACAACGGAATGGATCCTATATGTTACCCAATGCCTCCCAAATTATAGGTATCCAGTCAAAATTAAATACATAAAGAGTGAATGAATGAGCACCAGGAAGAGCCTGTAGAAAATGCACATTAATTAAATCTTCCTCACAAATTCGAGGTCATCTTCTGATTACCAGAAGGAAAAGTGCCTTCCTTCCCAACAGTTCTCATGAGTTGTGGAGTTGATGGTGCTCACTGGTGTTGACACCTTTCTACACACCAAATAGAATCACAGTAGAGTTGTAGCTTTTAGTAGCCTTTGTCCTGTGGGAAAATTCTCAAGAGTGTATGTAACCATCTTAGTTACAGAGAAACGGCGGGGTCCACTAAGCAGATTTAGCACAATAAAGAAAATAAAGTAAACATGATAATGGAGTGGTGCGATGCATTCAAAAGCACAGTAACTGGTTCATTACATGGACCTCAATAGGACATGTTGCTTGAGTATCACTTTTGGGCCAGGTTAATTCTAGTTTCACTTTACCTGGAACTCTTTGATGGCTCCACAATGACTACAGAAAAGACCAAAATCTTCATCACACAGTATGAGACACAAGGCCTTCCGTAATCCGGTTTCCTCTCTCCCAGCATCTGGTTTCTCTCTCACTAACTAGGCTCCAGCTGGTGCGAAGTGTCCAGCTTCCCGAATAAGCCAGGCTGTTCGTTCTTGCAATGCTTCTCACCCTGCTCTCTGCTTGGGAAGCCTGTCCCTCCTGGGCCACTCCATGGTCTCTGCATGTTGGTTAAGACTCTGAAAACTTTTCTAGTTCCTTCCTCCAGAAGGAACCAACCCCTCATTCAAGGGCAGCCTTTTACCCCCACTTACGGACTTTGTATAGGACCTCTTCCATGGCTATGCCTAAAACTGCACTTCCCACCGCTATTGCCAATGTTTTGTCCAGACACACTGGCCTCTTTGCAGTTCCTCCAAACCTGCACTCTCGTTTGCCAGGAGTAAAGTATTTTCTACCAGGTGTTTACATGGTGCATTTCCTACTTCACTCAAATCTACTTAAATGTCACCTCTAGGAGATGTCTCTGATCACTCTAACCAAAGATTCTCCCTTTCTTATTTTCTAAACAGAATTACCCACCCCCCTCTAGCCCCTTACCTTATCTTACTTTCTCTTTGTAGTACTAATCTAATATTTTATTATGTAATTATTAATGTATCTGTCTTCCCTTCTAGGAATGTAACCTCTGTGAGGATGGGTCTTTGTTTTGTTTACTGCTGTAAATGTTTGTGAATGAGTGAATGGCTGAATAAATGACACCTGAGACCCTTTATTACTGTATTGGCTTAGGCCATCTGCTCTCCCCTTGCTGGACAGCAAGGGCTGTCTCCTTAGCTCCTTCCTGGCACAAAGTAACTTCCTAATATTCCTTGTGTGACTGAATGATGTTAAGTATAAGTTACCTGTAGCCAGTTCCCAAAAAAGGCACTCTGAATCCATGCATACTATATAAACTGAGGAATACAACTATATTTCCACAATCTGTTTATTGGAAAATCTTGAGACCAGATTTTCAAAAACTTCAAAATTCAGAATTGTTCACTACTTAACACCCCTAGCAGTATCTGGGGCAGTACTGTGTAATCAAATACATTAATAGCTTTGCAATAAAATGTGTGAAGAGTTCTACAAAGTGTGAAAAATAATGCTCAAGTAACTTTTTCTGTCAAGTGAGCTATCAAGGTAAATTTGAAGAGTTTGGGATTTGGAATTGTGGCTGAGGGCTGTAGATATGTACTAGCATATGGAGATCTGTGCAGTACCTCTGTGCTAAAATAAGTCTCCCACATTCCAAGCCCTGGCAGGTGTGGCTCAGTGGATTGAGTGCCGGCCTATGAAGCAAATGGTTGCTAGTTCGATTCCCAGTCAGGGCATATGCCTGGGGTTTGGGCCAGGTCCCTAGTAAGGAGTGCACGAGAGGCGACCACACATTGATGTTTCTCTCCCTCTCTTTCTCCCTCCCTTCCCCTCTCTCTAAAGATAAATAAAACCTTTAAAAAAAAAAAGTTCCCCACATTCCAGAAGGCTAAAAATCACTGATTTAATGTATTAGTTTAAAACATCCATTTTCTTTTCAGTATAGCTAACATTAATGAAGCATTTCTTATGCATCAGCCCTTGTGCTAGAGGGCTAGCGACCGCCTGCACAATGAGCCAGCGGCTGAGCTGGACCCAGGTTGTCTTGTGGTTGGAGGCCATGCTCTGGGCCACCTAACATTCCTGACTTCATATGGTTCAAGACAAAAATTCTTCATTCTTCCCACGCCTCCTCATGATGTTGAGACAAAGGAAAGTTTCTGTCATTCAAGTAAACATAACAATCCTCAGGCTACAAGTCCCTCATTGTAAAAAAGAGACTGACTCTAGGCAGGCAACATTTAACTGATTTTTGTATAAAAGAATAATTTATTTCCTCAGCTAAACCAATGTTTTAAACATTGCTAATGACAGATCAAGTGATTCCAAATAGTTAACAAAATTATTTAGGCACACTAACTTGCCCTGATTTCTTTTGCAGAACCATGATCCAAGGTGTGCTATTCCCTGACAGATAAGTGTAGGAATGGAAGAAAAGAACAATTAAAAAAGGCACTGTCGTAGATAATATATAGATTGTTACATCTGCCTTTTTCCAGAACATCCTAGTTATTTGGATTTTTGAAAGCCTGATGGAGGTTGATAAAATGTATTTGTGATGACCAAATTCTGAAACTCTTTTGGAGTTACCAAATATAGTGATGATATTTTGGGAATAAGGAGTTAATTATATAAGAATAAGAAAACTATTTTTAAAAAATTCCTGCATAGAGCTATAGCTTCAGTTAAAGACACAGTGTTTCGGACTTTACCATACTTATGTAATGGCTTCAAGTTATGAAATGCAGAGTAGCAAAAATACAACACACATTCATTTTATGGTACAAAAGCAGATAATATGAACATGAAGATTAGGAAATGAAAATAACATATACACTAAAAAAATCACAACAGAAACAGGCTTTATTTCAACTAGACAAGTGAATACTTCAATTAACATCCACTTCAAGACTTGATGATATGGAAATTAAAGGTGGTGCTCAGAAGGCAGAGAAGGAAAGCTTCATCGTGGAGCAATGCTCTTGCAAAATCCCTTTCAACAATATGCTCAATTCAAAATATTATTTAGTTCTTAATTGTTAGGTCACATGTGTTTCAATGTTCCTCTAAGATTCACATTTGAAAGTTACCCATCAGTCCCAATGATGTCTTTTAAAAAGAAAAAATACATATCTGTATCATAATTTTTTTTTCATTGTAGAAACTAGGATTGAAACACAGTTTTTAGTTTAAAATATTTCAAATGAAAAAACTTTATTATTATTTAAGATGACTTGTTACAAAGCTCCTAGGTATATACATGTACAAAACAAAAAGATATGAACTACCTACACCTCAATCCACGTCTTCTAAATCTCCCAACGTGAGCTGTTAATCTTCTGGGAGACTTTGTCCTGTAAATGCCAATGTCTCGCACAAGGATTTGCTGCCATGATATGTTGTGCGTGGATGAGGACATTTCATCATAGAACATGTTCATGAGGGCTATGACAAAAACTGCATATAATTTTCAACTTTCGCCAGACTCCTTAAATTCATGAACACTTTCAGTGTTTCCCCTTCGAGGGCACTATTGAGAGCTTTGGGTCTCATGGTTAACTTTGTATTGAGTTGGACAGCACCTTGATTAATATAAACAATTACAGTAAAGGAAGGTGTGGTGGCGAAGGGGAGTCATCCGAGGACAGAAACAGGAGGGAAGACTCTTTCCATAAGACATTCAAACAGAAAAAAAAACAGGACGATAAAAGATAAACAAACAAACAAAATAGTGTTCACAGTAAAACATGCTAGATTTGTAGTTTCATTTGAAACCAACAGCAAATCATGAAACGTCATGAAAAATATAAGTAAAGGTAAAATCTCCTAGAGTAATTACTAAACGAATTTAAAATTACCACACTGATCAGTAAACCCCAGAAGAAGTATAAACAGCACTTAAATTTCAGGTCCTTCTTAAACATCATACAACTTTTCAAAGTTAATGCATAAAATTGGTAGGTTTGGCCACGCTGCACAAAATGTTGTGTTTTTTTTCCTTAAAAATACAGTATACAGAAAAAACTCTTGTATTCCCCATTTTGAATCATAAGCTCAAAACTCAAGAGTAAAAGATCAGCTAGAAGGATTTTAAGTTATTTACAAATCTAGCAGGTACATCTGCCATGAATGGCTTGGCTTCCATCCCACAGCGGCTTCCACCTTCTCCAGCAGTGGTTCCAGGTCTCTGTCCCATCTATGGCTCATCTCTACTGGTCATCAGTCATTTTGAACAGTTCCAACAGTGCCCCGACAGCTCCAAAGTATCCCTACAAAAACAATGGGAAAACGGTGTAACCAAACTTAGCCAAATACCTATTGTTTTTAATAACTCTAGGAATGCTGCCCCCTAATGGTGTAGCTAAATTTAAAACCTTTACTCTGCCATGAAACATGATGGAACAGTAATAAAATTTATTGGATATGGATTTGTGTATACATATTAAATAAGTTAACTGTTGACAAGTGCTTTTAAGAATGGTACGCAGTGTGTGCTATAGAAGCGCTGCATACTGTTAGTATTGTAATTTTCTTTTTTTTTATTTTTATGTGCCCCAGGCATGAAACAGCTTTGGCCATCAACACAGCCATCAAGATAGGGTAGAATCTGGACTTAGGGTTGCCAGGTAAGAGGTAGATGAATGCCAGATAAATAAATATGTCTCGTATTTTTAATCATTAAATATGGCAATACTAGCTGCCCTGGAACGGTGGTTTTCATTTTAATTATTTTTTTAAAGCTGAAGTAATTTTTTCCTTTTTCAAATAAAATCTTATGTGGAAAATCAGTAAATAAGCAGATAAAAAAGGAGCTGCTCTGCTTGGGTTAGGGAAACTGAAAATTATGGAACTCCATTCCCCTCACATCCCAATAAGTTATATCACTTCATGCCTTAAGCTTGCTTCAAAAAAAGAAGAAAAAAATAAAAAGGCTTTCTTTAGTATTAATTTCTACCATCAGGCCTTAACTATTTAGTAGTCCCTACTGTTTTATGCTTTAATGAAAACAAAATGGGCTTAGAGAGCTCTAAATCACTTACGAATCCACCAGCAACTTTCCAAATAAATAATTCAGTTTGGCGATGAGAAAAACGCCACAGTAGTAATTCATTACAGTTGAAATTTATGACACCGGTTCCCCCTCATTTGTTCCGCTACAATATACCCAAGTGATCAGGTACCTCCTGTAACAGTTGCTCCCTACAGTACTGAATTTCAAGGTGCGGACAGAGAAGGTGGCAAGAGAGGGATGCCCCTCACTCCCTCTCAGAAATTTTTGGCGTGCACTAGTGTATAAACTCGATACAAAGGACTCTGAAGTAACCAACACTCTCCATTTCCTCTGTAAGCAGGCTGGCTGATGCTCAGGTACACCCTTCCATCAGTCCACAAAGCTCCCCTTCCTAGCCCAAACGCTTCCATTCTCACCAGCTGAGTAGTTTATTTGCCAAAAGTCAGCTGTGTTTACCTTCAAATTTGCTTATAATAGTTTGTTTAATAATCTAATTTAATTATATGCCAACTCAAGTAATAAAGAGTATAAAACGGTCACTTCTATAAAAATCCAGTTAAATTCTTGAAAAAGATTGAAAAAGGTAGTTAATACTAAAAGCTGCTAAGAGAGTAAATCATAAACCTTCTCATCACAGGGAAAAAAAATCTTTGTTACAGTGTGTGGTGATGAATAAACGTACTGTGATAATCATTTTGTAATATATACATATATCTAATATTTATGTTTTATAACTAAAACTTAGAAAATGTTATATGTCAACTGTATCTTTTTAAAAAATCCTTATTGTATTTTTTACCGTTTAGTCCCCTTACAGCCCCCTCCCCTCAGCAATCACCACACTGCTGTCCACGTCCACGAGTCCTTTGATGTCAATTATGTCTTAACAAAACCGGAACCAAAACAAAGCAAATATTAAAAAAGAGAGTCACAAACAATGCTCTTCAGGTGGGTGCCGCATATGAAAGATTGAGGGGACAATCTACAATTCTACAACCAAATTACTTTATAAGTATCCTTAACTTCTTCATCCGCTTTAAAGAAACAAACCTGAAATCCAAAAAGGTGAATAATACGAAAAAAAATTATGAAAGACAAGACAACTACACAGTTCCAATCATCAGAACTCATGCCCAATAACAGGGCTTGGGCTGACATCAAGAAACTGGTGAGTGAATGAACATTTATAAATTTGTGTTAAAATAAAATGGTTAGAGTTGGGAGATATTTTTTAATGACTATGCATTTTAGCTGATTATTTTTTATTAACCAATTACAAACCCTGATTATTATAAAGAGAGCTTCCATTTTAGATATTGTTTTTCCCTATCCTCTGTATAATAAATGCAAACTAAGGGACCCACTCATATGCTAGACAAACCAAAAAACTTCCCCGTAGCACAATGTAGTCCATGCAAGCTCAACTTACCTCATGTTCCAAAAACAGAGCTTTTAGCTGTCCTTTGGACCAAAAATCCATGGCATATGCTAGTAGCTTCATGGAGACCATATTGATTCTGAGAAAATTCCCAACAAACACAACTCTGTCAATATTCTGGGGAAAAAAAACAACCAAACATAATTGAACCATGGCATAATGAAGTGGCATTTAGCCAAGACCCAATGTTTTATACATGACTGTATTCCCAGAACCTTGCAAAGTAAATTTTTTAATTAAATATGGAATTATTTTGGCAATTCCAAGATGGAGTTGAGCAAACCTCATAGTGCATTCCACAAAAAGAAGAGGATGAGATTTTGTTTGGAGGAGGCAGAGATGACACTGGGTTTATTTGCAGGTATTATGTTAGGTTGCCTTACGTCTGATATGAAATTCAGCTCCCAATATTCATGTATAAAATTGTAACTGGAATTTAAGTTCAGCTAAATTTGCTTGTGTATGTCTTCAATCCTCCAAACTTCCGACTATAAAATATTACTATAACCAACTCATAAATAAAATGGCCATGGTATGGGTTATTTCTAATGCATTTTCTCAGTTTGCTCTGTACCAAACACTGGGAACAAAAAGAAACAATATTCTCTACCTTCAGAATATGTGGTAGAATATCCTGTTTGGTCAATATGTGGATTAAAATATAGTAACAAAAATGCATTTATATTTTTATTGTTATAGATATAGACTTGCATCCTGAACACCACACAGCACTGAGGTAGGCCTGTCTACCACGCAGAGGCTGCTCACCACTCACTCACAGAGCTGGTTGCTCTGGTCGCTCATATCAAGGGAAGAGAGTTTTGGAAGCTGGCATTATTTTCTATTGAGTCTATCAAGAGTAACAGCATCCGGAAACTTTACCTTTTAACTGTCTCAAATTTTAACAATGCATGTTCATTAACCCATTAACCACTATGAAAAATGTCCATGGGTAGAGGGGTGGGAGGTTGTATTAATAAATTTCCACAAATAAGAACTATAGCCACAAACCACCCAGACGGAGAGATGGCAAAGGACACTCAAAGGAAGGAACTCGAATTAAAGAGGAATTTAATTGAACTTGGGGGGTTTCACCTTTTCCCCCCAAACAAGGGAGTCCAATGTAGGACTTGCTCAAAAACCCCAGTCCTGCTTTACTCAAGGAGAAAGCCAGAGGAGTAATAGAAGTGGCATTAAAGTTGATGGATATTCCTTATTTCAAACAAATCCCAGGTAGGTGAAAATCATAAATGTTAAATTAAAAGGGAAATTGAGAGAAAAGAAAAAAGAGACTAGAAGAAAACATGGGAGGATTCCTTTTTAAAATAATTTTGAAGTAGAAATGGTATAATACTTAGAATTCATTAAAAAAGACATATTTATTTTAAAAAATCAAATATTTATTCTGGGAGACCCATGAACAAATCCAAATGGAAAGCAATTATCAGAAAATATTTTCAGTACATATAACATAAAATGTATTAATTATCTACAAATCAATAAGAAAAAAATATCAACAATTCAATAGAAAAATGCATAAACAGTATTGATATTGATAGTTCATATACACGCAAAAGGAGAAACATTCATGGCTATTAAATAGATACAAAACGCTCAGCCTCACTTATACAAATTAAAAAAAATAATGCAGTATTTCTTACCTATTAGATTGAAAAAAATAAAAAGGTTTCATAACCCTCTGTGGAGACACTTATACTCTGATGGTGGGAAATTAATTAGAACCAACTCTATCTGTCAAAATTACAATCAACACATCCTTGACTCAGCAATTTTGCTTCTAGGAATTTATCCTATAGGTATAATTCCATGTATGCAAAATGGTGCATGTGTGATGTGTGTATGTGGATATATATATAAAATCAATTTTAAAAAAATAGTAGCATGGTCTAGAAAAACTGAAATGTCATTTAGGAAAATGAACAAATCTAGAATAGCATATCTACATGTTAGGCCACTATATGGACATTAAAAAATAAAGCAATTCTAAATATATCTATATGAATAATCTCAAGATATGTGATCATGTAAAAAAGTACAAGGCAACATTTCCCAAAGTGTATATTAAAGTATGTAGGATGTAGGATAGACTAATACATAATGTCTGAGATTTACTTTCTAATATTTTAGCAAAGAAGAGAGGAGTAAGAAAACAGAGATAGATGGAACCTGTATGGCAAAGTCTTAATAACTTTCAAGTCTCAGTTGATGGCTACATGAGGATTCTTTATACTCCTCTCTCTCCTTTATGTATATTTGCCAATTTCATGCTAAAAGTTTGATGAACAACCAACCAAAGCAAGATGTAGAACAGTATATAGGTGAATGGTTTGATGTGTGATTATATCTCAATAAAACTGTTGTTAAAAAAAGAATGTTATACAGAGTTTGCTACCTTTGAAAGGACATGTTTATCCTATATTGGATTCAATATAGAGTAAAAACAAAAAAGCTAAAAACAATGGCTGCCTCTAGCGAGGTAACATTGAGGGCCAGCTGTGGACATGGAGATTCACTTCCCTATACCCTTCCAGTGTCTTCAGAACTCTGCATTATGTGTTTGCATTATTCTCTCTTTAATAAAACAAACAAAAACATTTTTAGTTGACGGAGAAGCTTTCCATAACGCTCCAGTAAGCAGAGCACAAATATTTTAGATTTAGTGCATGTGGTTGAAATCAAAGACTCTCTAATCAGTTACTCTAGGGAGCAAAGCAAAGACTGAAGCACTTGCATCACTGGTCTCAGAACATGTGGTGTTGCCAGTGGCTGGTGTGTCCACGGGGAGTCTGCCCTGGCAGGGTGCCAGCTAACAGAGCTTTTGCCTGAGGTGATCAGTGATTCCTCTCATTCACTCAACTCCACTGAAATTTCTAAAATAGTTAAACTATCGCAGAACACTTTTTGCTAAGGTTATAAAATAAACGGTATTGATATTGAAATCAACAGTTAAAAATAAAATCTTTTGTCCTTCCTCTGGCGTGATTATGATACCTGTAAAAACAAACCAGCTGGCTCACTCGAGCTCTGTGGAAAGCAGGGGAAAGGGCATCTATTGCTCTATTCACATTGGATTGACCTTTGAGAGTCTGTGAGTACAGCCAACTACACACATATTAGTCTTAGGGCGTGTATGGTTACTTGGAACAACTCTCTTTAAAGATTAATGTAAAAAAAAAATTCTCTTGTTACAGTGAATCCCATGACTGAAGTGGACTTTGAAAAGGTATGTCTCTGGACTACATTCTTTCATCAGAGTATCAGTTTCACATTTAATCTTCATCTGAAATAGGGATTTACAAAAAGTATGGCCGCGACCAACAAGCCAGTGACACATTCTATTCAATAAGGAGAGCGTCCCTCTTATAACCCCAGAGCTCAAAGGCAGGGCCGGCACTCACCTATCATGAAGACTGCCTCACGCCGTTAAGCCCTCCATTGTTCAACGAGGCAGGAATTTCTGCAGTACCTGTAATGTTCTATTTCTTGATCTGAGTGGTGGCTAAACAGGTGTGCCTACATAATTCATCAGACTGTACACTTATGATTTGAACCCTCTTCTGTAGGTATGTGATATTTCTGTTAAAAATTATATTTAAAAAAGCTATTACTGATGCTACCATGATTAATACTCCTCCTATCACTCGTTCCATGCCCAACTTCTCTTTCTTGTCTTCCTAATACTGCTCAGTAAGAGCTGGTCCACTTTTCACGTCTTGTATTTCAGAAAAGGGTTCCATTTTTTTTTCCCAAAGGAAATTTACAATATTTCACACGTGTTACCAAAGCTTTGTCAGTGACCAGCTCTACCCGTTCTTGTGCCTGGGGCTCTGGCTGGCCTTAGCCGTAGCAAGCTCTCTGTGCTTTGATAGCCCTGTACAATGCTGCTTGAACTCCATGCCACAAGGCAACACTGTAAAGAAGCTGAAAGCAGAGAGAATATCAAATATTGCAAGTGGAATGCTTCGCACACAAATATTTGCAAGGGTGCACAGAGCTTTTCCTTATACTTCAGTAGGTACATGGTAATAATGATGGTTCGAGAGGCTAAGGCATGGGCTGATATTTTACCACGTTTCTTCCATAGTGGGATGGTTTTGTTATCATCCAGTGCCTAATTAAAAATAAAACACATATTCTTCCTCCTCCCCTACCACACACCCTTTTAGTTCTACAGGGTGTGATTACAACAAAGGGCAGGTTTCCCAAGGGTGGTAGTTTTGTAAGGGCCAACAGTTAACTGCCAGAGGTAATGGATATTAATGGCACATGGCTTTCCCTGGGTTAAGGCCTTACCTCATTCAACGCACACATCCGAGCAATGGAACCAATGTTGTTGGTGATGGTGACCAGTGTGGCTCGGGCGAGGTCTTCCTTGCTGATGGACTCTCGCTTTTCCTTACTCATCATGTTGCCAAAGCTATGTTGGAAATATTAGCGAGAGTGTTCAAAATCATCCTCAGGCAGACCCCATACTTCCACCACAGTACTGTGGAAGGCTGTATGAGTAACTGTTCAACCTCAAATGACCTGACTTCGCTGCCATGGTTTACAAGCAGACAGGATTACAGCATGAATGGTTGGCTGCTCTTTTCTTAATAGGAACAAAATAGCACGGCTATTAATGGGGAAAAAAATTTTTTTTAATGCCTCTAGATATCTGGACAAGAATGAAACAGGAAACTTCTGCAGTTTTCCAGAACCTTCTTTCAAAGCTGCCCTATTTTAAGAATAAGCATCAAGAGCTCAACATCTCATAAAGGGCAGGAGATCAAATCAGAGCTCCGATCCCATAGATGGTTGCACCTGGTGGGTTAAGAACTTTAAAAATAACTAAATGAATAGCCAAGGTGGAGAGGTTGCCTTGTGTTTAGTCACTACTGTTCCTAGCTACTTAGTCTCTACCTTGAGGCTACAACGTCTCTACCTTGATGCTACAGCAGATCCTTGAAGGCCAAATCGTTCATAGTCTCCTCCGTAAATGTCCTTCACCAGCTTATCAACATTGGTGCTGTCGCCTTTAGCTGCCATTTCCAGAGCTTCTTCAAAGGTCTCACAACCAGTCAGCAAGCAACATAGGCCTAGGAATGTTCCACCTCCAAGACTGAAGGAATAATAAGGTTTATTTTTAAATTTTACTTTAAATATGCCCACCCAAGTCCCCAGTGACATCAAGACCACTAATATAGGTTAATAAAAACAGAAAAAAACAAAGAGGCACTTGAATTAAAGTGCTAGGGTACAAAAGAGCTTTAGAGTAGATTGGATAAATAAGAGGGCAGAGACTAAAAAGAAACATCAAGGAAAACTCGCCCCTGAATTTAAGAGCAAAACCAGAGAGATTCTCTCTGATTTCTGTTGTGAGACCTTCAACTTAGCTACTGACCTGAGGGCTCCACTCTGTTTCCCCACCTACAAAATGAGGCCAAATCATGATTGCTCTTATTTGGGTGGTCCGAAAGCAGTAAATAATCAGAGAAATGACTATTACACACACACACACACACACACACACACACACACAGGGTTGGGCAAAGTAGGTTTACAGTTGTATGTGAAAGTTCATTCTTATATTATTTATTAATGATTGCATTATTTTCCATAGGAACAACTGTAAACCTACATTTACCCCACCTTGTGTGTAGTGAGACTACAAAAACTTAGAAAAATAAACTGTGTGTACATGAAGCATAGTTTGCATCTATGGAATCAAACTCTGATGTCAAAACTGATCTAGGACCCAGCCAGGATGAGCCAGCCCAAAAGCTGGATCTTTCACCTGACCTTGCTTTAGCTGAGATAATCCTACTTAACCTCTTTGGAAATTCCTGAAAGGGAGCCACTAATTGGTCTCATATTGTATTTTTTTCTAGTAGACTCTGAAAAATTACTAATATTTTACTTACCACTCTTACCAGAGTCAAAAACAGTAACAAATGTCATAAAATGGCTCCCAGGTTCAAACTATGTTTTAAAAGCTATTGATTATTGCCCTAGTTGGTGTAGCTCAGCGGATTCAGTGCCGACCTGCAAACCAAAAGGTCGCCAGTTTGATTCCCAATCAGGGCACATGCCTGGGTTGTCGGCCAGGTCCACAGCTGGGAGCCTGCGAGAGGCAACTGAATGATGTGTCTCTCACCCATCAATGTTCTTCTCCCTCCCTTCCCCTCTCTCTCCAAAAATAAATAAAATCTAAGAAAAAAAAAAAGCTTTTGATTGTTTTGTGGTAGGGGGAGTTCCTCTAAAAGCCTCTGTACAGACAAAATTATGATTATGGTAGTTGAGAATGAACTCAATTGTATATTAATATCAAAGTTACCAACAAAACAAAACAAAACAAAAAACAAACCGAAGTTACCTACGGGAAAGAAAAGCAGATTTGGAATAAAGCTATCACTAGTGAACTCCAGGTAGGACAAGGAGCACTGACATGACCCTGGGTTTTACTCTCCATTTGCCACAAAGAACAGTAAATGTGAAGAGTAAATTGCTTTCACCAATTTGTTCTGAAGCTCCATGAGCTGTCGGCCTGGGAACCCCTTATGTGTTTGGATACTGGCTTCTAATTCTAAGAAAATTCAGGTTGAGATTAAGGTTGTTTTTAACTTAAATTTGGAAAAGGAAATTTGGGGTAAAGTATATTTACTGTCCATAACCACTACCAAGTGTAGGTACCAGATTGTAGACAGGCACATAGGTCTTTAAATCACATCAAGAGCAAAACTCTATGTAAAATATTTCTTAACTAATGATTCTTAAAAAAATACATACTTGATGGAAATTAAAGGTTCTCATGAAAAATTTGTAGCTAGTCACCACCAGTAGCAGCTATCCAAACTGTGAGCGCAGTGCCATGAGGATATTAAAGAGCTCCATGGATACTGTTGCCTTGACAACAGTCACAGTAGAGATTTTGGATTTCCTTTAAGAAAGTTCTGTCTTCAGTTACTTCTAACACAGTGGGTTATGCTGTGTTGTCAGTTTCAGTCTACCCCAAAAAGCTACTGTGGTTTAATGGGAACACTTCTGGTGCGCATGCCAGCTGGATTTATCTTGTTTTCTCTAAGCATATATTTTAAAAGTTTTTGCTCCTATTTCTAGCTTTATTTTTCGTCCACACAACCTTTCTTTGAACATCAGGTATCAGTATTAGTCAAGGCATTTAACAACCTACTCCAAACACAGGCAACTGAAGATATTGGCTGACTTAGAAAGAAGGCAACTCATCAACTGATGTGTTGGTATGAGTGAAAAAGAACAAGTGCTTTGCATGACTGGGAAATGACAGGTGACTCCAGACAAAGACTCGGAGCCAAATGGGGAAAGCAAGCATGCATTTGCACAGCTGGCACCTGCAGATAGGAGGAAAGAATGCAGAGTCGCAGAAGAGCACTTTATTAATATCTCCAGACTGCTAACTTGATTATTTAATCAAGTGATTCTCTTGCTCATGATCAGACACATGTTTGTTTTAGCAGACACACAGTAAAGACCCTCAGCAAATGAGAGGCAAAACAAATGGCTAGAAATAGCTATTACATGTAATCATTCTTTTTAAACCCAACAACCTTATAGTGAGGGATTTTAGGGAGAAGTAGGAAAAAGCCTCAGTTGTTGACTGCTTGTGCCCTTAAAATAGATTCCCAAACACTGAGATAAGCTTACTGCACCTTTCTCTGAAGTTTCAAAATTTTTTACATTCCTCTTTTAACTCTGCACATTCTAACAATATCAGTTGTAAAGTCTTCTTTTTTTCATAGACTCCTATAGTAAAATTGGAGTTGTGTAATAGAAAAAAAATGTTGCTACCCAATGTAGGATGCAATAAAATTACACATAAGACTGAAGCAAAGCATTAGAAATCATGTTTAATAGAAACCTGACATTCTGCAATGATGTAGCTTCTTAAAATAAAAATGCTTAATGAGAAAACAGGGTATAAAACCATAACAACAAGCTGGAGTTAATCTATGAGTTCACAGTAGTAGCAAAACTTAAAGCTTAAGCCATGTGCTTAGATCAGTGATTCCCAAAGTGTGTTCCACATGCTGATGTACACCGCTGACCATAATAGTTTATATCTGTGGTTTTTCTAATTTGGATCAAAAGGAAACTTTGGTAGGACAATTCTGGTTGTGCAAGGAGGATCTACAGCCCAGAACTGATGTCTCATTCTCCTTCCTGCTGGTGGCAGCCCTTGAAAGGGCTCTCTGTTCACATGCAGTCTCCTGTGGCACATTTCCAAAACTACTGGTTACAGGGAGCTTGTAGCTAAGTTTGGACATCAAGATGGGTTTGTTGATGATCACAAAACACTGGTCATTAATGGGCATTTAGCAATAACTAAAATTTATAGGCATTATTACACATGGAATAGAAGCCAAACACCATAATTAGTTTATTAGCAGCTATTTAAGAAGAGGACCCAAATCCCTGGAGGCTCCAAGTTTGAGGAAGTTTACCTGTGTTATAATTCATGAACTTAAAAATTGAGCAACAAAATTATAAATATATCTAATTGTGGAAAATATTTAGTTTGTTGTTACAGTGGGATTAGCTCTATCAATGAAAAATTATACCTTTATCAGAAGATCACTCTCTAAGGTAAAACCAGCTCCATCGAAACATTCATTTGTCTCTATTATACCTGACAGCCTTATGAGGCCATGGGGTCAGCTGTGATTCTTCTGTGGGCAAGTGGGCTTTGTTCTGTATTCCCAGTGAGAGAATGTATGCCTAGTGGCAATTAACTTACATACCAAAGCCTATGTTCTGGACACAAGCAGGATTCAATCAGAATGTCTGTGTGTCTTTGTGCGTGCGTGCGTGCGTGCGTGTGTGTGTCGCACTTTCTCAACACCGGTACTACTGACTTTCAGGGCTTAGTGTTTTTAGTTGTTGTAGTGGGGGGGCTCCCTAACCTCTAGCTACGAGTTGCCAGTAGCACCCCATCTCCATTTGGGACAACTAAAAAATGTCTCTAGAAATTGCTGAAATATCCTGGGGAGATAAATCTTCCCTTCCCCAGTAGGGAACCACATATTTCTATAGACCCTTTACAAGTCATGGGAAAAGAGTAGAAAGCAATACTACCACCCTAATGGGTGAATAGTACTACAGAATTTCAGTACTTGAAAGCCTGTAGAAACTAAGAAACAACCCCATTCATGACACAAATTGAGGATACTGGGGCCAACAGCATTTACATGATATCTTCATCTATCAAAAACAATGATTTCAATACCACATCCCAAACCACATGCCACATGGCACTAGTTCCTTAAGCTGCCCCCCCAAAAATGGGTTCTGTGGTCCAATAAGTTGGAGAAACATTCAAACCAAATTGTTCTCTTAGAAGAAAAACCTCTTTAATTGTTTCTACCAGGATTTCTTAGGTTTCTGACCCCAGATCCTTTTCCCATGTTGAATCCCCATGAAGAGGAAGCTGAGCCCACCTCCCTTCGGTGTGTCTGCATTAAAAAACAAGGCCTCTACTCAACTGAGCGGGCAGTGCTGTTTTCTTGTCCATTACATTCCAAAATTCCCTGAGTTACGCCAACTACTCCACTTTTCAGCTGGAGCATTTACCTGAGGGTAACAAGCATTCCTTATAAAACCAGTTTGTTCGAATGATTAGAACAATGTATTATTTCAAGCAATTCATCCTGAACTAGGCACCAAGGTGGTTCCAAAAAACAGCTTCTTTGGAAGCCCCCTAACCATCCCCAGCACTTTTCCATCCAGATTCGACTGTGCTTACTGTCCCTGCCATTCATTTGGGACTTAACATGTACGGCCTTTTGGGAAAACTGATGTGTGTGACCTTTCACCCCTCAACCTGATCAGTTTCCAACAGGGCAAGGACTGCATTGTATTAACCTTTATATAAATCACCTTCATGACATATCTAATACATCCTTTTTGGTTGACAGAGAGTAAGAGCTTTCTTTTAAAAATGTATTCAATATAAATAACGTTTTCATAAACTGGCCTTCAAGGAAGAGACCTGGGTTTAAGCGTAAAAAAGGTTCTCCTAGTGAAACCCATGTTTACCTGGTCCCTGTAACTCTTTTATAGTTGTCCTTGGAGTACACTGCTAGGATGCTGACCCCCGAGCCCATGTTCACCAGCAGCATAGGGTATGGGTTATCAAGGCAGTACGGCTTTTTTTGACACAATTCAGGATTTGTGGGATTTTCAAAATAGTAACATTCCGGCTTGCCGTTGAAGCCAACAGAATCAACGTAGAGCAGGCCCCGAATCAGACAATCCAGTTCGTCCAGTTTATGGAGCTGCAGGTCCGCGATCTGCAAGAGAACGAAACCTGTGAGGAAGGCTGCCACAACCCTAGGGGGGCACCAGAGACTTTAAGCTGGACCTAAAAGGTGTTATTGACGTTAAAAGTATAGAAACACCCTGAAATACCAAGTTGTAAAATCTTGTTGATAATTAGCCTTGGCTGGACACCGGCCATCCTGTCTGCCCACAGTGCAAGCTAGAGGATGGCAGCTTGTCTGGCTGCTGAAAAAGCATCCTGTTAGCATGTGAGGTGGGCGGAAGGGGAGCGCCTGAAAGATAATGTCCACGGCCTAATTTTTGGAATCTGTGAATGCTACTTTATCTGGAAAACTGGTCTTTGCACATGTCATTACGTTAAGGATGTTGAGATGAAAAGAACATCTTAGATTACCTGTTGAGGTTCCAATGACATTTCTTTATGAGACACATAGGAAAGACTTGATAGACAGAGAGGAGAAGGCCATGTGAGGATGAAGGAAGAGGCCGGAGGGCCGCACCAGAGGCCGAGGAGTGCCAATAACTACCAGAGGCTGAAAGAGGCAAGGAATGGAAACTGCCCAGGCGCTCTGAAGGGAAGTGTGGTCCTGCTGACCCCTTGATTTTGGTCTTCTGGCCTCCAGAACTGTGACTGAATAAATTTCTGTTGTTTTAAGGCACTAAGTTGGTGGTAATTTGTTACAGCAGCCACAGGAAACACATACGACATACCACTGAGACAGGGGCTTCTCAAGGGGGGAGGAATGAGAACGTTCTGAAAGCATCAGGAATCCTACACTTCCTTGGCAGGACATGAGGTCCCCGAGGGTGGCATGTTGAGCCTGGGAGAAGGGGACAATCTCCTTAGGCCACAAAGTCCAACTCCCCTTTCCCCAGGCCTGAGCTTTGGAGTGAGGCAGAACTGGCTTTGAATTCTCGCTCTAATACTTACATAACTGAGGGGTGTGAGGCATGTTACTTAACTTCTCAAGCCTTGGTTTCCTCATCTGTAAAATGGGTATAATAATACCCACTGCATAGTGTTATTGTGAAGATGACATGATAATAATAGCATATGTATAATGCTTACATAGGGTGTGGCATGTACAAGGGACTCAACAAATGTTAGCTCTTTTATTAATAGCTGGGTGGTCTCAAAGTGTCTTTTCATGCTCCTATGTGACAAAACTATTCTCCTAGGTACAGAGGGGAAAAAGGTAAAGGGGAATGAGTTGGCTATGGGCTAGCCTGAGGAGTGAGTGGCCACTTTGCATCCTCAAAAGTCTAATTCATGATCTTCAAGAATGGCATCGCTGCCAGTTCAAACGCCTGGGTTGATACTAATTTTCCATGGACCAAAAAAAATGTAGCAATCACCAATCAATGAAAATAGATAATTTATAATATCTAACTTAAATTTTTAAAAATCTCTTTAAGAAAATAACTGGTATTTATTGTTTACTCCATGCCAAGCACTTGTACTAGATAATTTAATTCTCACAAAAACCCTGTAAGTAGGTACTCATTCTATGGTGAAGGCTCCTAGAGCTTAAATAACTTTCCCCATGTGATACAACCTGCAAAATATCTCCCAGAGACTTGCTGTTCTTCTCTTGTCCTCATTCACAAAGGGTACTGCTTCTGAGGTCTGGAAACCACTTATATAAGTACTAAGATATTTTGCCAAAAGGGGCACCATCTTCATCACAAAAGTTAACAGCTAGAAGAAAACTTTTGACTTTGTGTCACTCGTCTGAATTTCCCATTCAACAGAATCCACTGAAGCTATCCCTGCAGAACAGAATTAGTTAGAACACGTTACCAACAAGGTGGTAGAACTTTTCTTGATAAACAGAAAAAAATCATTCTAAATGATAGCTGGTTATAAATTAAATCCATCTCATACGTAATTTCAAACATTTCATTTTTTACCAAGTGAAATTTTGATGTGAGATGCATGCAAGTAGATACATTGAAAGGGGTAATGCCGGAAGTATAAAATTACCTGCAGATCCAAAAGACTAAAGTGAGACACAGCAGTACAAATTCTATTCCTCAGCATCCTTTGTTACACTTATCTCATTGGTCACATTCTGGCTTGTTTTCTGGTTCATTGGGTGCCCCTAAGTGCCATGTTCAAAGGCCTGTCCTAACAATTGCTCAATAAACATTTGTTAAATTGAAACAGGAAAGCTTTCACTTCCTGGATCATCCCAAATTAAAGAGCAGCAAATTTCATCAGCCAGTTTTGGGATCATAGGTTAACCCGCTTAATAATTACTCAGGTCTGTCAAAAATATCGATAGCCATGTCCAGAAACAACATCACAAACATGGACAAAGTCTGTCCAGCTGGACATCCTGAAACTATGCTAGGGAAAAAGAAAAGCGTGTCAGGGCAAATTAAGCAAAGAAAACATTGCTATCTCACCTTTCCCCTCAAAATCATTTTCAAAGAAAGTGTTAGCAACAAACATCTCTTCTACACATTTTACTGAGGGATGAAGGTTTCTGAAGCCTGAGGTCATACATCTCCAAACTGGGAAGCAGAAATATGAGTCACTTTCACTGAGACCCATCGAGACCTCCCTCAGAAGCCTTCACCATCCAGGTAAAAGGATGGGTTTTCCTATGTAAGCAATGAGCCCAGTTATTACTTGCAGTTTTATACACACCGTCTACAATTCAAAACAAGACGGGAATTACTGTTCAGACTTTGCAGTTCATTAGTCAACCGAACCAACTTTGTGGAAAGCCTAAAACAGCATGTCTAGATCCCAGCTACAGAGAAACATTTGCTCTGGGCTTAGTTTTCTTTGTTATCAGTGATTCCCTGTATTCTAAAATTCGAAAAAATATGGGCTCCAAACACAAAGCATGGTCAGGATACAATTGGAAGGGGTTCTCTTTATGCGCTTCCACTCAGTCTGTCAAAAATAACTACCTAAAGAAATAAATAAATCTGCTAAAAACCACCCCAAGAGGTTCGATACTATTGTCAGTGAGAAACAGAACAGATCCCGGAAGACTGCTTCTTCCTCCTCACACACCCAATTATATAAAAGGGGCCACAAGTGAGTGCTCAAGAGTATAAAGGCAGGATGAAGTGGAAAAGGACCTTGTCTACCGAACCTTATGCTCCTGCACTATCACAAATCAGTTCCCAGATTAATAACAGAAACCAATAAATATGTTTGAATGGTCAACTTAGATTTTGAATATCATATATCCACAATTACCCTATTCCCTCTGGATGATTTTTCTACCATTAGTAACTGTGTTTAGACTGTTCCCTCAATGAAGGCCCATTCTTAAGTCCTCACACCTTAAAAAAAAAAAAAATGTAATGAAACAATCAGAAAATCTTTTTCTCTTCCCTAAATCTCATGTCTAACAAATGAGATTGTTGTTATATCCTGTTTGTTCAGAGGGCAGGTCTTTTTTTTTTAAAGTAATTAAAAAAGTAACTTCTAATTTCTAATTAATGTTAGTCTTGAACTGAAAAACTCACGAGGCAAGTTATCTATTCTAATGAGGAGTTAGGTGGACAAAAAGGATAATTTTTTCTATAATTCTTTTATTGTTAGAATACTTTGCATTCTAAAGAATAGTTTTATTGAAGTTAGAAAGTATAGTTATGGGTGGTAATATTAGATTTGGTATGTAAAATATTCTGGTACCTTCTTTAAAACAAAAGTCACAGCAGTGGGGATAGACACAAGTTAACTGTGCACCAGGTGTTAAGTGTCCTGGTGTACAGCCACACAGGGGCCTCCTGCTTGGGGATCACTTTAAACAGTGGCATTATCCATGGCTTACCAATGTCTTATCAATTTTGAAGGCTAACTTTCATCAGGCAGGAGTTTTTGTGATAGTGATCCCAAAATATTAGAAGAAGGAAGGGAGGAAGGAAGAGAGGGAGGAAGGAAAAGAGAGGAAAAAAGAAGGAAAGAAAAAGGAAGAAAGAAATGTAGCTTTGTTCAGCTGAAAGGTGGGGATTCCAATTTAATGTTTGTCTCATGGTTTATAGCTCTTTCATGTACCTTCTAAATTGGATGAAGAATAGTTAACTTTAAGTACATTTACTACGTATGAAAAGGATATAGTTATCAGACATAATTGCTAACTATTCAGGGTCTGCTGAGCATCTTTAGTTAATGCTGATTACTCAGATTTTTAAAACACACACATACAAAATTGTATTATACCAAAAACAGTGATTTTATACAATAACAATGACAGGACTTTACAAATATGCTATTTTGTTTGTCAGACTGTTTAATATTTACAGTAGTATACATTGATCCTTTACAACTAAGTAAGCACCTTCAATTTCCTATTCTGGAAAGGAGAAGAGCTTGGATTTAGCATACCTAAGGGTCCCTTACTGTTCTCTCTGCCTAAAATTGCTCTTCTCCAGACTCTGGCCTGGTCGCTTTGTTACTTCTTCCCGTCCCTGCTGCAACATTACCTCATCACACAATGGCCATCCCAGAACTCCCTACCCTCTTGCCCTGCTTGTCCCTCCACTTACTGCCATTTGCTTTATTCTATATTCACTGGCTTATTTGATGATTGTTCATTTCCCTAAACTAGAACGTAACTTCAAGGGGAGCAGGGGTTTTCTTTTGTTCTTTACAGTAGTTAGCACATAGGAGCACAATAAATACTTGATGAGTGAGTAAATGAATGCTGAGGAAAGATGCTGAAACCTATTCTTCCTCAAAAACTTTGGCAGGATAAGGGCACATCACGTAGTGCACTGACAAAAGGCTATGGGAAGAGATCGGTCTTCCTCAATTCCGCCTTCACTTTGGGCAAGACTGAGCATGGAAACAGAAGGCAGCCATGTACTTTCTTTTAAAGGTGTATGCTCCGCCTGGCCAGGCTGTTTGGCTAATATAGTCACGTTTGACATACCATTTTGGTCAATGCGGGACTGCATGAATGATGGTAGTCCCATACGAATGTAATGGAGTTGAAAAACTCCTATTGCCCAGTGACCTCATAGGCGTGGTGATGTCCTACTGCAAAACACATTACTTGCACCTGTGGGGTGCTGCTGGTGTAGAAAAACCCACTGCGCTGCCAGTCGTATAAAAGTATAACACACAATTATGTACAGCACATAATACTTCATAATGATAAAAACGACTATGTTCCTGGTTTATGTATTTACTACTCTTATTGCCACCTTAGAGTGTATGCTTTCTACTGCTAAAAAGACTAAGTTAGCTATAAACAGTATGCCATGTTATGCCAGCAGCAGCCTCACACATCCGGTGCTTACCACGTCTCAAGACTGTATCATTTTCTCTTGTGCTTGATTTAATCTCATGTTGTTCTGTACAGTAACATGCTGAACAGGTTTGTAGCCCAGGAGCAACAGGCTACTATACAAGACAGTGGTAGGCTATGGCATATAGATTTGTGTTAAGTGCACTCTATGATGTTTTTGCATAACAATGAAATCATCGAATGACGCATTTCTCAGAACATATCCCTATCATTAAGCGGCACACGTGACTGTATTTCAAGCTTGCTCCCTGCTCCAGTCTATCATTAGGCTCCAACAGCCTGCCTGAGGGAGCAGAGGCTTCTCTACCTTGAATGCAATAATGTAGGATCTTTCTCAGTTCAGAACCTAGAGAAACACACTTGCCCATGGCCAACATCTATTGAGTAACTTCCTCCCAAAACATACATTACCCCAGAGGAGGGATAGAGGCATTAACAGACATTGCAATAAATGCTCCAGGTCACCTGGGTTCACTTCCGGCTCCCCAAGGGAGATAGACAGTAGGGTGTCCCTGAGTGACCTAGGGAGCTTAGAGCACTAGTGTTGGTTAGCACTCCTCCTGTCTGAATCAGAAATGAGGTGATATCCCAGCTCTTACCAATGGAGGGACTCCTAGAATCTTTTAATCTCTCTTTAGATTTAGTTTTCTTATTCATATAGCACAAGAACGCCGCGCTTCCTGTTTTCCAGAGATCCCTTCTAGTTTGTTGCCTTAAAAATCAGATGATGAAATGGAGGTCCATGGCTGGGCTGTATTTCACCCGAAGTTACCCAGTTAGTTAGATGAAGACACAGGACTAGAATTCAGGTTCAATTCTTTTTTGACTATGAACTCAAATTTAATTTTCACGTTCCTGGATCTCAGCCTTCTCAGTTTCAAAACTCTTGGATCATTGGACCTCTTTGCTGGGAAAAAGATCCCATGAATCATTTAAGTAGGTGGCAGCATCAAATTCTACTGCTGGGTAGGGAAAGGGGACATGGAAGAAAGAAGCCAAAACCTGAATATAATCCGTCTCCCTTAGGGTACTGTGGGAGGACTCCTCAGTAGAAACTACTTAGTATATAATCGAAGCGATAAACAATGTTAGCTTTGACAATGCAGATAAAATTTTCATTTACAGCTTAGTACCATGAATAACACATTGATTCATTAATTTATTCATTAATGATAGACATAATGACAAGACTGGATTACATTACTTCCAGGACAGTGCTCGCTCCAGCAGCACATATACATTACTTCCATGACAAAACGCCAGTAATTTGTACTCTAGCCTCTGAGAAAATGTATTTTATATCTTGCCTTCCTATATTTTAACTCTGGCAAGATTAACCCCCAAATTGTCCAACCTTTCCTTCTCCTGTGTTCAATCACTTTTGTTAATCTAGCTTCCTTTACTTTCTCCACCTACTTTTTTTCTCCTCTCAATTTATTCCCTGTGAGACGAGACTGGACAGTACAGAGATTACTGTGCCGGCAGAGATGGGAAAACTGGAACACATTGGTGTTAAGGGACTACGAAATGAAAGAGAAAGTTTGGACTCCACGTCACTCATTCATTTCTTCCATTTAAGCCAAATTTGTCCGATCCCAACGGGCACCACAGAGCTGGAAAGCACTGCCAGTCAGGATACGGCATTATTTGTACTACATAGCACCACTCTCTCCAAACTGTGTTCATTAAGGAAGGAGTTCACCGATAAATAATATCAAAGAGTTCATTTTTGTTTGTGAGTAAAACCTGAGTGACACTCATAAAATAAAAAGACAGCCCTGGCTGGTGTGGCTCAGTGGGTTGAGTGCTGGCCTGTGAACCAAAAGGTCACCAATTCAATTCCCAGTCAGGGCACTTTGCCTGGGTTGCGGGCCAGGTCCCCAGTTGGGGTTGCGCAAGAGGCAACAAATCAATGTCTCTCTCGCAGAGATGTTTCTCTCCCTCTCTTTCTCCCTCTCTTCCCCTCTCTCTAAAAGTAAATAAAATCTTTTTAAAAAATTAAAAAATAAAAAGTGCAAATAGGTAGACAGAAGTAATAATTTTTAATAAGATTTACAGAAGCTTTTCCTGTGAGCCTCAGTCTATGTATCTATGAAACTGACACAGTGATTATGCTTTTCAAGAAATGGCAGTGTCTGTGGGAAACTAAGAAGAGAGTTTTATATCAACTTGTCTTTAGCGTACTGTGCAGCAGTAATTATAACAAAAGTGATGATGACAGCTAATATTTACTGAGCATTAACAAAGTGCTAGGTACATATTATCTCATTTAATCTTTCATGTAACAGACCTATGAGGTAGTAACTATTCATATAGATGAGGAAACTGAGGCAGAGAGGTGAAGTAAACTTGTCCAAAACCCCAAGGCTAGTAGTAGCCTAATTCTTTGGTATGAGATGCCACGATTATGGACATATGAGAAGTTTTCTTTTCTCCCTCCCTCCCTCCCCTTCTCCAAGAGGTGGTTTTATTAACAAGGACAAACACACATACCATTCTGAAGTCCTCTTCGAACTTGAAAGCCCCGCCTCCTGTGGCACAGAGAGTGGTGTGAAGGCTGGAGAAGTTCTTTTCGCTGCCCATCTGAATAAACAGGTGCATAGCACAGCTGGGGAAGCGGATGAAGTGCAGGTTTCCTTTGCGCCCACACATGGTCAAGTTTTTCAGTTCCAGGTGGACATCTCGGATCCCAGTTTTCCCATAAGCGGTGTTGGAAGTCAAATACTTTCTGATGCTCTTCAGGTTTTCCACTTCCTCTTGTTCCTCTTCAGCTGTAATATCCTTTGGTTCAAAGTAGACCAACTTAACCAGTGTTCCACCGATATCCATGCCAAACCACGGAAATGCTACAGGACGGAAAGACAGAGTGCTGATTAACTCTATACATGGAAGGAAATACACCATTTTTTAAATATTTAATAATGAAATGCCATGGTGTCACATCTATATGCGCATTTAACATTCAGTTTACTTGATTTCAACTTTATGTGCCAAAAAAAAAAAACAGGCAAGGAGAAATTCACAAGTTAAATGGTGCCCCTTATCCTGCCCACACTCCTCTCAGAGTCTGCATCGAGACTGACTGTGAGGTGAGACACAGCACTTTGCAGCTCCCTAAGCCAGGCTCAGAGCTCCTCAGGGCTTGAAAAATCTCACCAAGACGGGTGAAGCTCCAATGCTTCAATGGTATGTATTTTGCATACATCGTAGCTCCCAAAGGCTAACTGGTTTATCAGAATCTTAGCCAAAGAAACACTGGCTTATTCTAAAGCCAGAGGAAAAACCAGCTATGCTAGGTGCACCCATATGCAGTGTATTGATTTCTAACCCTCACGGTGCCTTCCTAGGGCACTTTTCAATGACAATTTTTACAGCATTTGACTTTTGCCTCTGTGGGCTGACTTCATAAAGCATGACTCCACTGCTTTAATCTACAGAATAAACAGGAAGCAGGCAGGGAGAAAAAGTGGGCTATGTCAGATGATGGGCAGATACAAGGATCCCCAGGGTGGCAGAATTTTAAAGAGAACAGCTTCTGTTACATCTCCTTTCTTTCTTCATTAAGCAGAGACAGTGGTTCCATCTCAAGTGGCCCACCCAGAAGTTCCAAATCCAGTTGCGTGTTCCAATTACCTTCAACACTCCAATTTCTGGTCTCCTCTCCCATGAATTCTGATGTAATTCAGGGGTGGGACCTGGGCATGATTGTTTTTTACAAGTTCCCCAGTGGTTCCAATCTACAGGCTTGGGAAATGCTAAACCAGAATAACCACAGCCACTGACAGGCAGGCTGGCGAATAAGCACAGCTCCGGGCCAGGTCTGCAATGCAAAGCCATGCCTCAGAGGGAGGCACACACGGGTACCTCACAGACGACGTTTTGTGGTCCATCTTCTAACTCACTGCACTATATAAACGAGCGCATGCACACACGTACACACACAGCGGGTCTTCGAATAACACCCTTTTGTTATAACGTTGATGAGATGCCACAGGAACTTATGTGGTAAAACTGGGCTTACTATACGTCATTTCACTAAAGTCACAGAAACTGTGGACATTACATGAGTACTTAAATCTGCTGGAGTTGTTGGCTTATGACAGAATGAATCTCCACTGTAATTATTTTTACTGTTATTAAGAGAATTGGCTGAGCTCCCTAACCAGCCGGACTTTATTTAGACGCAAGCTGGAAAGTCGATGCTGTGCTGTCAAATTCTCTGCAGAGAGCACACCCAAAGGAGTAGCCAAAATCTGGAGTCTCCCTTTTCATTCCCTCAGCAGACACCAGGGGCTAAATCTGAAACTTTAATATTAAAACCGAGATAAGACCCAGGGACCTAAAGAACTGTTTTCAAAAAGTTTATTTTATGTAGCCCTAGAGAACATCCCTTGTGAAACTGTGCATATTATGCTTAGAAAGTACATTGCCAGGAACATAAGTGGGACCTACAAAAGTTCCTTTTTTCTAAGCAACCCTACTGCTCTCTCTCCATGCGTATGCTGGGGAGGGAGGAGGGAGCGGTACATGGGAGGAAGCCATCCCTGCACACAGAATCTTCTTTCCTGTGCATCGCTGCTGTCAGTTAGCTGTGGGTGCTCCACACTGGGTAAGCAGTAACTCCCACGTGGAAAAACAGAATTCCAAACTCCTGAAAGATTAAGATCAACAAATTCCACTGATGAGACCAAGTTAACAAATGTCTTATTATCTTTGCAAAACAAATCCCACACAGCCTACTGTAGGCAGGGAAGCGTGCTCTTTCTAGCAGAAGATAATAGAACAGTGGAAACAGTTCATCCTTACTAGTCAAGTCAGCTCACAAATGATGTTTCTTGGTCCATTCGCTAAACCTCGCTGTCAGCGTGGGCCAGTGTAGGTAAGAAACGAAGCCGCGAGACAGGATTTAGAACCACCGCCCTCCAGAAACAGCTAGCTCACTCCAAAGCCCTCCACCTCTGGGATCTCAATTCCCTTAGCTGTGAAGAGTGGATTGCATTACAGTGGTCTCCGGTTCCCTCCCGACTATAAATTTTCTATGGATTCTTTAAGAAGTATAAAAAATAATCACAACCACCCTTCATCATATAGGTTAACCAGAGCTCTAGTTTTGAACTCTAATGAAATACTCTATGGCATGTCAACAGGTGGCCGAGCTATGCAATCAGTGTTGCAGTTATAATTCATTCTTATCAAAGTAGGGTAGACACACACCTACACCTGGTAGGATGGGGAAAAGGCACTCCAGAACACTGCTAGGATGAGCATTTTGGAAAGACTGGCCACATACATTAAAACTAAAAGAACACATGCATTTTTCACCCAGCTAATCCCTCTCCTGGACCTTATTTTAAAAATCACCAGTACTGAAGTATAGGTATCAGAATGTCCATTGCAGCACCCTTTAGAGCAGCCAAATTAAAAATAAACAAAAACTGGAAACAGAAGTGCATGCCCTTTAACAAGGAAACTGTTTAATACAATGTGTATCTTCCAAACCACAGAATACTGTGTACCCATTAAAAAAGAATAAATGAGACTTATACTAGCTGTCTGGAATGATATCCCCATTTTCTGTTAATGAGAAAACCCAAAGATTCATAAAGTAGAAGTAATTTATTGACCCTACTTGACTTGAAAAGAAAGGAGGTAAGGAAGAGAGGGGGAAAGAGAAGAAAAAGGGGAAGGGACAGAGGATGCAAGGAAAGAAGACCCCCGTGTGTTCATGATTATATGAGCCTGCAGAAATGTAGAGAAGCCCACCCCTCCAGGTTGTTACTATCGTTAGAGGGTAGCAGGATGAGCAGCTTGTATGGGCGGAGGCTAGAAATCAGGGGAGAGGATGGAGAAAATTCTACACCTAAATCTTCCAGTACATTCAGAAGTACAAAAATAAATAAATAAATATTTTTAAAAAAAACCCCAGTGATCATGAACATTAGGAGATAACTCAGCACAGGATGGACAGAACAAGCAGCGTGAAACCCAGAAAATAATCTAGTTCTGTCCCAGAAACCCGGCATTCACCCAGCCACAGACGGCACCAGCCCTCTGGGATGAAGAGTCACTGCACAGCCTTTTGTTTGGCCGAGTATTTCTAAGTACATGCAACTGCAAAGAAGTCTCCCTTCTGAAACGCAGCAGGGGACACCTATAAGTTATTTAGAGTCCTGGTTTCTTCTTCCTGCCTTACCTCCAGCTCATTTTTCAGCCATTTCAAAGCTTTTTTTTGGCAACTCAACAAAAGTGGGGGGAAAGTGTCAAGTTTTAAAAATGCAGTTAAGTGTTAATCAGCAGTTTTGGTTAAGGTAAAAGGGAATAGGACTGGAATACGATGAAATGGCGGTAGAAATTGCTTTCACTTACCTATGTTCCTTTCTTACCTTCATGAAAAACTGAATGCTCTTGTATTCACATTTTAATGCTTTTATAGAACAGTGTCATACTTTTAAATGTACAATTTTATTTATCTTCCTGCTGTCAAGGTCTCCCTAAATCTAAGCTTCCCGTACACAAGCTGCAGATGCAGACAGAAGAGAAAGGGAAGGAAGAACATCCCAAAGCAGCTGTCACTTATCACTCATTTTTTCTTTAATCCAGGACATCCAGGTGTTTTGATAAATTCAGTGGAATCACTGATAAGAGTCTGTTCCACATTTGCCAGAAGTGATGGCAGTTCTAAATAGAGAATGTTTGCGTTTATCCTTTACTCCTCCATCTTATGCCAGGTGTCATTTTTTAAAATTTCTAGAATATTCATCAAAGATGTTCAGAAGAAGAAGAAGTTCAAACTGCACAAGAAGACTTAAGCAAACAAGTAAACTGATGTACTCATTCAAAATGGTTTTTTCCATAATGAGGTGTATCTAAACTAGACGCTGATATTCACAAAACCTGGTGCTATAGATAAGTAGTTGAAAATAACTAGATTTACAGATCTCAAGATGAACAGGGCTCAAAAACAATGCTGAAGGAAATCTGCTTTAATGGTGAGAACTGATGAGTAGGTCATCGCTTCCAGGCCAGGGCATTAGGGTGCAGGCATGAGGCCCTCTAGAACTTGCCCATAGTGATGGGAGAGAACACAGCCAATCCTCAACGACATACAGCATGAGCACAAAATAAGCCTTTGCTCTTCACATCACTGAGATTTGGAAATTGTCTGTTGCTGCAACAGAACCCGGCGCACTCTCACTGCTGCTTGATATGGCGCGCTGCTTCAACAGCAACAAAAAATGTGACACTGGCTTAGAGGCCAGGCAGCAAGGAGGAAACACATTTTGGAGGCTGGCAAAACATTTGGCAAAACCATTATGTCTGATAACTTGGAAGGCAGATAGATACCAAAAGAATTAGGAGACCTCATGTAAGAGGTTCAAGGTCAAAATTTAGTAGCGTGTGTTGGTGACTCTTGTCTCCTGTTGGCTGAATTTTAGAAAGGGTAACCCAAAAAAGAGTGAGAGATGGGCTCAGAAAGTAATTGACTATTTGACAAACAAAAAGGAAAGGGAAGAGAGTCCATCAAGTCAGGTTTGCAGGGCTGAAAAAAGCAGCTGCTTCTCTGCCCTGACATATAAACGATAAAACTCAGAGAGACTTTGAGTGAAAAAGATCAATTAGCACTTAGCTGTGGGGTGAGGGTCAGGGGAAGAAAATGGCCATCGCACTCACTCTTAACACTCTGAAACGGTTAAGATGTCTCCCACTAAAGAGGCAGTTAAGGTTGTGGCTTCTTAGTTAATTCCTTCAATTATAATAGCTCAGGGGAAAAGACACCAGAGCTGTGGCTTCTCCACCAAAGCCTGACAGGTTCAAAGTGTCATCGACTAAATCAATTAAGAAAGGC